AAACAAACCTTTTACTTTTATTGATTCTCTCTCGTTTTCTCTCTCTCTCTCTCTTTCTCGCTCTCTCTCTCTCTCTCTCTCTATCTATCTATCTATCTATCTATCCCATAAACATAGCACACTTTAAATCTCTCTCTCTCTCTCTCTGTGTGTATATATATATATATATTTATTTATTTATATATGTATATGAAAGCTGTCAATTCGTTAAGCGAGTAAGATCATCTCTGACAAGATCGTTACTTATTTTTAGCTCTCAATGGCTCTTTAAGACAGCAAGTGACTGTCAATGCTTATTGCAGACTCGGAAAATTAAATTCTTCTATACTGGGCCCGGTTTTTTTTGTAAATCTTTCTCAGGTTAAGTGCGAATTTTCATGCTACTGATGAGATTAGAAGGATTTCTACAGATTTTCTGACACACTGCACATGTTAAATTATCCCCAGAGTATCATTGATCATTATTTGACAAAAGTCTACAGATATGACTGCTCTTACTCTTTCTAACGAGGCTTGCATTGGAGAGACATACTTGGCTACTTTCAATGATTTACACATTATAGCTGCACACTTGGACAGATCAAGGCATGTTCTACATCATATCATATATATATATATATATATATATATATATATATATATATATATATATATATATACCCAAGTATATAATTGGTATATACGGAATGAATTCCAATAACCAACAATTACTATTCTTAAAAGAGTGCTCAACACAAAGTAGAGCAGATATAATTATTTTTATAAAAAATTATAACATAAGTATTATAAAATCACTACAAAAATAGCCATTTTGTTTCAACACACTCTGTGTCTTAATACAGAGACACAGAGTGTGTTGAAACAAATGGCTATTTTGTAGTGATTTTATAATATACTTATGTTATAATTTTTATAAAAAATAATTATATATATATATATATGTGTGTGTGTGTGTGTGTGTGTGTGTGTGTGTGAGTGTGTGTTTGAGTATGTGTATGTGTAGTAAATGCTAATATCAGTATGCTATCACACTTTTTCAACTTTACTCCTAGAGGCCGTAGCCCAAAATATCATACCATTTTGGAATCAGGTTCCGTAAGCAAATTAAAAACATTCCGGGCCTGATGCGGACCCATAATCCTGACATTTTGGATTCCCAAGTTTTCATTACTGCATTTGTTTTCGGAAATTTTTTACGTGATTTTTTCGACGAATTCTTTAGTACAATAACAATTTTTATATCTTGGAAATAAATTTGGGAATAATCGAAATTAACTACAAAATCCTGCGAAATTCATCCATAAAATAAAAATAATTGTTGGTACGTAAAGTAAATACCTACGTACATCAAATTGTATTTAAATTAAGTGTCGGAAGAAGAATTATCCTTGGACATTTAAAAGGTAATCTTAAATATTAATGTAATACTTAAATACAGTGATCAGTTTTGTATCCTTCTGTAGTTTATTGTTGCCTTTCATATCTACACCTCACATATTGTGATGAAGGCCCAATCAAGAATCCTCTACAGAAGCCAGCTTAAATGCCACCAAATAGGGTGGCTTTTCAGCCAGTATAATAACAAGAAGAAGATTTGGAAAAACACTTAAAGTTTTTTTATATATTTATATGTAATATTTATAATACATGTATGTTTACAAAGAATTATTGAAATTGTTTTATTTACTCCGACAAAATATGACGGTTCATCACAATCACATTAGGGATCTCCATATTAGAAAAATACTCCTTAGCCAACATATATAGGGAGGACGATATCTGCCAAGCTTTAATATCTTTCCATTCTAGCAATGCTGCTACAAAACCACGGAACATAAGGGCATTAACAAAGAAACATATTTTATCAGTAAGTTTAAACCAAAATTCAATACCTTGGATAAACCAGAGTCACGTCCCTCAAAATAGAACATATATTTTCATAAGCGACAGCTACAACCAGTTACGTCCCTTGATTACTTTCTTTTATTCCTGACGTAAGCGGCACCCCTGGTAATTTAATGAACGTTTATAAACTTTTTGAAAACTAAAAGCGAAACCAGTTAAAGTATTTCAGAAAATCCACATGTAAGAAAGATAATTTTAATTGTTCTCTGTAAACATACATGTATTATAAATATTACATATGAATATATAAAACTTTACGTGTTTTTCAAAATCTTCTTATTTATACAAGTTTTGTACAGACATTTCTAACACTTTCACTTTTACCCGTATATATATATATGTGGGTGGGGATATAGCGTACAGTGAGTGCTGAGAATAAAAACATAGTGCTCGATATTATATAACAGAGCTAAGATATATATTTTTAAAAATTATGTGGTTGACCCGAAGATAAACAAAATGGCATGTAATGAAACTTTGAGTTGCAAAAAGGAAAAGGCATCTAATTCTTTTTAATGTATATAGGAGTCCTCTGGTAGCATATATATTGTATATGATATATAAAAAATTGCTTTTCTTCTTAGCGTTCGTTGATGGCCTAAGGTGAGAGTCTCTAACTGATGTCAAATCGGGTCTCGATCCCGGTTCGAAGCAATCGAAAGTCGAGCTGCACTGATGAGGTTTGTAACAGCGAAACAGTCACTCTGTGGATGACTATATATATATATAAGTTCTGTATCAATTATAGATCAAATATACATCGGAATCCGACAGGTTGATAAGATAAGGAACAAACAGGAAACGTTTAGCAGTCTAACATGTTTCACATTTCTTTTTCTCAGTTTCTGACCAAATGTGAAACATATATATATATATATATATATATATATATATATATATATATATGTGTGTATATATATGTGTGTGTGTGTGTGTGTGTGTGTGTGTGTGTGTGTGGCGGGGAGGGCGTACACGTGCCTGTATTAACGTGGCTTCGCATGCCATGGTGGTAGAATTGGATTAAGTTACGTAATTAAAAAACCCTACGGTTCAAAGACATTTTTATCTTTGAATAATATTATAAAATGCTTTACATGAAATGAATGTGTTCTTCTATGTGGCATTTCCATTTAGAACGTTAGCGATCACGGCTCTCCACAACCTTCTATCTCTTCTATCTCTTAGCAACGTTTGTCCCTTTGCAACGCCTCCCTCCTCAGTTCTTTCACCTAGACTCTTCCTTCGTCCATCTTGCTTTCGATATATCCTGTGAACGTCAACTTCTCCAAGCTTTCCGTCTTCGTTGTGTCCAAGAAAGTTCTGCTGTCTCTGAGTATAGGTATTCTATTTGATTTCATTTTCCTTAAAACGTCTTTGTCGCTTAAGCGTTCTGTCCAATTTATTCTCAGTATTCTTCTGTAGCATCGCATTTCTGTTGTTTAAAGTAACTTCATCATCTGCGACGTGATGGTCCAGCATTCATAGCCATAGAAGAGGAATCATAATTTGCCATGTTTTTGGACGGCATCTTTTGCTATTCAAATAGGCCTTCGGTGTTCAGTGTCAGACTTTTCGGCCTCTAGTAAAACACTTTCCATATATTTCAACTTCTTATACGTCGATTTCCCCATTTCGTAGTTCGCAACTTGAACTGTTTTCTTGAAGACCATACCTTCTGTCTTCTTCTTACCATACCTTCTGTCTTCTTACAATTGGTAGTTAGTCTTTTCTTCTTGCTTTCCTTTACTACCTTGTCTAGGTGGTCGAATAGTGTTTTTGCATAATCTATTAGGCGTAGGCACACATTCTTCCGCATTTCTCTCTAATTTTCCGAATTCCTTTAACTAAGAAAATCCTGCTAGTAGGTATTTACCTGTCTTCTCCTAGAGACGTGATGTGACACAAGGTCGGTTTTAATGTGGGGGACCCTTGCGCGTACATCTTGGCCAGGGTCCAAAAATTGCCCAGCCCCCAACAGCCTTCCGTTGCGCTGGCATCGGTATGACTCTAGTGCAATGAAGGGGATACGGCTAATAACATTTTATAGCCGACATAAATCTCTAAAAGAAACGATTGAATCACGCCACAAATCAATGGAAAATAACTTTGCCTATGCAAAGGCCGGACAGACACGAAAACACACACAAACACACACACACACACACACACACACACACACACACACATATATATATATATATATATATATATATATATATATATATATATATGTTCATTGATCACCGCACGACAATGTGCACGTAGATGACTCTTTCTATTCGTATGTTCTCTGACAGATGAACCCAACCTCTGTCTTACTCGATCGTTTGCAGACGTGACACATGAACTGTCCATCTTTAGAGGCCACCGGCTGAAATACATCTTTGTGTATTTTGGAATGTAAGAGAACAGAATGCATGGTTGTTAGCAAACGGATAACCTAACATGTAAGTTAAAATTAGAGTTACCGAAATAAAAACAAATACAGCAATTTGAATATCTGGGGAGTGTTTTAACAGAGGATGGAAAGTGCGACATTGAAATCTGAAAGCGTATTTGGCTAGCAAAAGCTGCCTTCCAACAGATAAGCCAAGTAATAAGAAACAGAAAAGAATCGTTAGAAACAAAAAAAAGAGTACAACTGCTATGCAATATCAGTCCTTCTATATGGCCATGAATGCTTGACAATCTCCTCACAAGAAGAAGACTTGAAGCATTAGAAATGTGGTTCTACATAAGGAACTTGAGAATACCATGGACGGGACATGTGAGCAACGACGAAGTTCTAAAGACAATGGAAACAAAAAGGGCCCCCTATACTTAACATCAGGAAGACTCATTTGAAATTTCTACGGCACATAATAAAGAAAGAGGGCTTGGAAAATTCAACACTCACAGGATATATTGAAAGCAAGAGAGACAGATGACAACAAATCATAACAGGCCTGGTGAGCTTGCGTGAATCGATGGCAGAGCAGGGTTTGGAAAAGAAGGCGAGAGACACAATCTTTTGTGAGCTACAATGAAGAGGAAGTTGTGGAGATCCATGACTGTCAATGTCCTCAAGGAACACGGCATATACAAGAAGCTGACTTGTACACTAATCAACATGAGAGACAGATTCTACAGATTCTATATTATGAAACCTGAATTTTCCCCATTCTTTAAAATGGATGTCCAAACAGATATAAGATTAGAATTATCTTTAACTACTGGAATCTT